GCTCTTCGTGATTAAGATGGACGAGGGCCGAATTTGTGTAAAGCTAGATACCCTTGCATAAGATTGTAACATATATAACATAGTGAACCGAAAATTGAGGTATAGCAAACAAACTGGCCGAGTTGAGCAAGAAGTAAACAGAAACAAGCCGGTTTTGGTGGTTCGTGTGGCTCGTGTAGACGTCACCAGTCAGCAGTCAGCACTTAAGCGTGGACGCGTGGGGCGTGGATAGAGGTACTACTACTACAGTATAGAGGAAGCAGAGGAGGTTGGAATAGACGTGCCAATTATTACAAAGGCACAATCAGTAAACTCAATCATTTAGAGAACAGAACTCCCTCACTTAAGAAAAGGGATATCTGTGCAGATTGTTTCTGAAGGGTAACCCCAGCAAGCCCCAGAGAGGAATGAATGAAAGGAAAAGAAAGAATGGTTCATGCTGCGCGCCGGGCGGTGGTTGTCCGGCGCACATCCCGGAGCCAAAACAAACCCGCCGGGGCTCCACCGACCTTCCCTGACACGCTTAGTCGTTTCTCTACTAGTCTAGTCGGGCTTGGTCTCTCTTCTCTTTCCATCATCACCACCACCCATTCAATCTGTGTCTCCCTTAGACCCTTCTCTGTTGTCTTCCCTCCCCCACACACTCTCGCGGGTTTTGCTGCATTGCTTCCCCTTCTCCTAGGGCATGGCTTTCTGCTTCTCTCACTAACTCCCACTGCCGCTCTTTATTTGCTCATCTATCGCGTCGACAATGGCCTTTTTCTAACCGAGTAATCACCCCCCGTCGAGACGTGTAACGCATCGCGTGCTCGCCTCCAACTGCCCCTCCTTTTTCTCTTGCTGGTGTCCAACTCACAGCAACTCACGCTCATATAGTGCCTTGTATTCTGTTACCACATGGCAGCTGTATTCGTACCACCTTCGCCTCGGTCTTCGCTTAATATGTCGACTCGCCGACCACTTGCCAACGTGCCGAATGCTACCAATTCCCCTCACAGGTCAGGCCTCGTGCCTGCCAAACGTCTACGTCCAACGAGTAACCAGATCGACATCCCTTACGGCCAGCCTCCCCCGAAGAAGCAGGTAGTGGACGGTCAGGAGGCGGACGCTCGTTCCCCATCCCGGACCAGGGCGTCCGCATACCAAAATACCGACTCCAAGTTGTTCTTGCGGCGCACGAATAATGCTCAGCCGAGTGCATTCGAAAGGAAACTGGTCGCTGTGAGAGATAAAGAACGACAGGCACAAATGAAAGGCACGAGGCACGAGAGGCCGTCCGCGGAGACTCTCGATTCCATCCGGCAGTGGCAGAGGCATTACCGCAAGGCGTTTCCTCAATTTGTTTTCTACTTTGATAGCATCCCGGAAGATGTTCGCAGCAAGAGCTCTAGACAGGTGCTTGCATTGGGAGCGGTAAGTTTGCGTCTGGCTGACATCTCCAGCGCTTCATGATCCCCTAAAGGAGCTGCGTGCGGAGGGTCAACGGTGCCCCACCGGTCCATGGTGGCGGCAGTTCCTATACGACTGCGTGACGTTACTGACTTCATCCCTCACAGCGTGAAGAAAAATTCTTCTCGCGTCTAGTGACCCACGTCGTCACGTCTCGTCCTATCCCTCCGGAGAACGGTCCCACGAATGCACCTGAATACAATGCGGAGTCGGCGGAGCAAGCGGCGGCGGACGGTTCGCTGCAGACAGTAAACCCATCCCTGCTCGAGAAGTGCGCCGATACACACCTTCATATGACCTTGAAAAACGACGCACGGCGGGAGCAGAAGGGCATGGACGTTTTACACAGAGCCCGCCAAATGGGAATGAAGATCTGGGCGATTGAGAAACTGCAGCGCATGATCACGGCGATCAATGATGGCGATGTCGGAGGACATGATGGCCACGCGACGCGAAACAGCAATGTTGCTGGTGGTCATGCTAGGGCTCGGGGTGAAAACGATCTTTCGCAAGTGCTTCAGAATGAGCTGAATGGCCCGTCGGATCGCAATCCCCTCTCGGTCCTGAAGGAGCTGGTTATGTTCAAGGGTCCTTTCATATATGTCCACGACATGGACGAAAAGACGCGCCCTGTGATGGTGCGAGAATACCCCAAAGTTGCAAGGCGGCAGGATGGTATATGGCCGCAATTCCGAAGTGCACGCCTAGGAAAGTGCCCGTTCATTGAGGATCCCCCTACACAGAAAGACATCGACCGCCAACGGGCCCGTATAAAAGAGAGGACGGAGAGACAGGAAAGGGACGAAAGAGCTGTTGCTAATGCTGCTCCTGTACAAGACATTCCAGACGCGAAACTAAATGCACCAGAAACTCATAGGAAGGGTACAAAGCCCGAGGATAAGACTCTCGAATTGGGCCAAACAGAAGAGGCGCCCCTTGAGCCCCAGCTTGAACTCCAGGATACTCAGTCCACGAAGCAACTATCGCCCAGGAAAAGCTCCGAGAGCTTCGTGCCTCCGCCTCCGCAACGGAAGGGGCCATTTTTCCATGGCCGTGAACCTGCCGCATCAGGTGTACAGCCCTCGAATATTACGTCCGCCATTCGTTCGCAAATGGTTTCATCGACTGCTGCGGCACCCGGTGCCAAGGCTGGCCTGAGCAAGGAAGTTCATGAACTCAAGAGAAAGGTGCTCGAAAAAGGAAACGGAGGGCTTGCAACGGGCACTATGCCTCCATCACACCACGCCGTAGATGGATCCGCACCGCTGAAGACGAAACCATTGGAGAACAGCCTCGGCAATATGCAACCGCCTAAAAAGCTTGTAAACGTCCCGGAAGAGGAATCAACGCAATTGGAGAACAGTGGCGCTCCTAAGCGGCGGATCGGTGATCGAAAAACCATAATAATACCGAAAAAGAAGGAGAGACGGAGAGACCCTAAGCCAGGCTACTGTGAGAACTGCAGGGACAAGTTCGACGACTTTGAAGAGGTTAGTCTGGAAGCTCTAGATTTAGAAACGACAATGCTAACCTTTGGCAGCACATTGTGACCCGAAAACACCGCCGCTTTGCGACCAACCGAGCGAACTGGGCCGAGCTCGATGCCTTACTTTATCAGCTGGAGAGGCCTGTGAAATCTGGTGCGGAAGGAGTCCCAGGGTTATAAGCAGGCCGTACGTTCGAGAATGAAAGGAAAGGATATGAAAATCGTTGCGGCTCGTCTATTTCCCTGGACTGAACTGGCTGCAGCGTTGCCTGCGGAGATGATCTGCTAGCCGCTCAGCCGTGTTAATATGTGAAGATATTCAGCTCGTCTTTTCATAACACTGGCATATACACCCGTCATCCAATCATTGTCCAAGCCTACGTACAACTGTCGACAGACGATGCGATTAATACTGCATCTCTATTGCTTCATCCTCCCCTTTCCTTATTTGCTATCACCACTTCCATTTACAACTCGGTCCCCCCTGTAATTGGTGCACAACCGGCGTCCTTGGATTCTGCATGCCATATCTCTGCATACTGTTGACTGATGAATGAAAAGCATCTAACGGCCTCGCCAGCGACGAATTTTTGAGAAGATTTTGAAAACCCCACATCAGTACAGAAAAAAGAAAAAGAAAGAAACAGAATCAGATTGGAAATGAGAAACGGGAACTGGAAAAAACAAAAACAAAAAACAAAACGAACCAATGAACGAAAGCAGGTGACATATGGGACTCATCAACAGCCAGGACATACATACATTCATGCATGCATCCATACACACACACCGCGCGCATTGGGAAGACAAGCTTATACTTCAATGGTGTCGAGGATTGCATACATTTTTCTTCTCTCCCTTACTTTCTTTTCTCTCTTTTTCCTATATAGTATTTCTTTTTTGCATTTTGCTCCTTGTTCCTACTATACCTTCATGGGCAGACGGATGGATGGATGGATGTACTCGAATAAACCGAGGGGTGGTTGGTTGCATACAAAAGACATGGCGGTACATGTCTGGACTGGTGTTGATGTTGAGAATTTTTATGTTTGCTGGCTGCTTACGAGCTTGGTGGTTATTTTCTTTTCTTCTCTACCTTTTTGTTTCTTTCTGATGTCGTGTGTCACTATACTACTACTAGCCTTGTAGCTATTACTGTAGCTACAACACAGGCTGTAGGCATAGAAATGGAACCTCCTACTACTACACACACCCACACATCATCCAATTTAATTCTATTCTATCAGCAAGAAAAAAAAATCCACCTAAAATCTCCCAGTTCTTCAATCTACACAGTAACTTGTATCACTACTAAATCACACCAACCTCGGCCCACTCCCCAAGTCCTCGGTCCGGGAAAACAGAAAAGAATGGAAGAAACCTAGCAGTGGAATCACCTGCATGTAAGTATCCGCCCTAAGACGGGCATAAGTCATCCCTATCGGGTAAAGCGTGAAATAATGCCGACGAAATGTTGGGGGATTGGCACTAAATTATTAACTAAGCTAAGGTTTTTTGGAACTTTGATGGTTTTCTGGGTGGATGATCCGGACTACGCGGCATCATCTATACCAGCATGGGTTATATAAGGAAGACGGGTCGTGGGGGTGGCGGGTAGGTAGGAAGGAAACTTTTATTGTGATGTTATTGTACTGAACTCCTCTTGTGAACCTTTTTGTTGTTATTCTTCTGGTGTCAACCATTGTGCCTGTGTCAGGGTTTATGTGGGGTATTGAATAAGTTTCTTTTTTGATAACGATCCAGAACCTGAAGGAACTTCTTTTCCCCTTCCCTTTTATTTTTTTTAGTTTGCTGCCCACGGGTAGTGACGACATTAGCCCTTTTTTTCTTTGGCCCGTCGCTCCGTTTTCCGACTCGGTCTTTCCACGCCCATCGGTGCTTGTGCGTACCTGCGTGTTTGCTGCTTTCGGCTTCTTGCGGTTTGCCTCCAGCTTTCCCTAGATTTGCCTCTTCAGGGGCGACTAGTGTTGTCGCTCTTCCTACTTCTTTTTTGAAGACGAATTTTGCTTCGTTTCATATCTATACTTCGCTTTTTGCTATCATCATGGCTTCGAGAATCTCGACGCAATTGCTAGTGCCTTTGGCGAGGTCGTCCGTTCGTTGTCGGGCTGCATCCGCTCCCGTCTTCTCGGTTCTCGCCGGCCGACATGCCATCGCCACTCCTGCTCCAACGGAGCTTCAGAAACGGTATAGCTCTCATTCTCCGCTGGGGGCCACCTCGGCCAGTTCCCGGAAGAAGGTGACCATGCAGACGTTACGGAACCTCTACAAGAAGGGTGAACCAATTACGGTGCTTACGGCGCATGACTTCCCCAGTGGTCATGTCGCGGAGATGGCGGGCATGGACGTGGTCCTGGTCGGTGACAGCTTGGCTATGGTCGCCCTCGGCATGGAGGATACAAGTGAGATCCTCATGGACGAGATGTTGTTGCACTGTCGGAGTGTCGCACGTGCTGTCAAGAGTGCATTCACGGTTCGTATCCATACCATTCTGCTTGAGAGAAGGTTCATACTAACGTGCGGTTTCGGTGCAGATCGCCGATCTCCCCATGGGATCTTATGAAGTTTCCCCCGAGCAGGCTGTTCAGTCTGCCATCCGCATCGTGAAGGAGGGTCGCGTCCAGGCTATAAAGCTCGAGGGTGGTGCTGAGATGGCTCCGTCCATCAAACGTATCACGCAAGCTGGTATCCCTGTGTGCGGTCACATCGGGCTTACGCCTCAACGTCAACATGCTCTTGGAGGATTCCGGGTTCAGGGCAAAACGACGGCCAGCGCAGTGAGGCTTCTGAAGGATGCTCTAGCTGTCCAAGAGGCTGGCGCATTCATGATGGTTCTGGAGGCGGTGCCCGCTGAGATTGCCGCCCTCATCACGAAGAAGTTGCGTGTCCCCACGATTGGCATCGGTGCTGGAAACGGATGTTCCGGACAAGTTCTGGTCCAGATCGATATGACCGGAAACTATCCCCCGGGCCGGTTCCTTCCCAAATTTGTCAAGAAGTATGGCGACGTCTGGGGAGAGGCTATTAAGGGTATCCAACAATACCGTGACGAAGTCAAGAGCCGGGCGTATCCTTCCGAAGAATACACCTACCCCATTGCGAAGGAGGAATTGGCCGAATTTGAAAAGGCCATTGAGCATTTTCACAAAGAATAAATGCTCAGGAACCCACCCTGAGTCGTAGTGTCTCATGCTGCGAGCGTTGTTTGATTCAAATTCTGAAGCTGCATATCATGCATATCATGTCCAGCAAGTCGTTTCAGTGATACCTTGGTATTTCATGTTCATGTTCATAATTCTCATACAGTGTCAAATTACCTTTGACAGTTTTGCGCACACTTGCCTTCCTAATCACATTCGTTGTTAGCTTGTTGAGATGTATCTGGTTCAGCCAAACTACCTTTAAATAGTCAAGACAGCTGTTGCAATAACACACATCAACCTTTGCTCATCATTAGCCGAAAGCGGGCGTCATAGAGTAAGCAACAATAAGTTGCTCATCAGTCTTGAAACACTGAATGTTGTAAGTAAACGAGTGGCTTAGATCCACGTATCAAGACGACCTACCCTCCATAAACCACCCACACCTTCGTCTAAGCCAGGAGCAAACACACTGTTGACATAACAGAAAACCGAGTCGGATTCTTTACAGTCCAGCTTCTTCCTGAGAAACTTCACGACTGTTTCGAACTTTTGTGAGGCACTGATTTTGAACACACGGTTCTTCAGGATGGGAGCTGAAGGCAGTGGCTGAAAGCGAACGGTAACTGGTGCACCGTTAGTCTTCTGTCAACATATGGCTTATCCTGATAAGCCGCATGACGTTAATAGATATGGGCGCTAGCAGTGAGGGGCCAGTCTGGAGCCCGAAACAAGCTCATTATTGTAATCGAGGGAACATTTGAAACATTTTGAGGCAATAAAGATGTGGTAGTGCGGGTAGCAGGTTCACTTGCCTTTCCCCGTATCGACAGCCTCAGCGTCCGCCAATGCTTGATGGGCATCGCGGGGTAAGCTGGTTAGCACCACCGAGGCGGACATGGTCATTGGCAAATCGGCACCGTGTTTGTCATCTGGTATAGGTGCATTTTGGGTATTCGAGGAAGAATCAGAAGATTGTTTACGATTGGCTGGTCTGTGAGCGAGTTTGGCCTGGTCGGGTTTGGGTGAGTTTTGGGCCGAGGGGCCCTGGGGAGATGGGGAATCCATGTTTGGCGATAGGGGTTAACGCTGGGTAGCGCAAGTTGTGCTCGAGGTTAGATGAGTTAATAAAGCAGCAGACAGTATAGTATGAGTAGAAACAGCGAGAGATGATAAGGAATGTGAAGAAAGAAAGTGCAGAAGATGTTGGTGTTGATGGTAAGGTTGATGCGAGTTGTTGATGTTCCATTCCCTGGGCTAGGCGCCGATGGACACCTGAGGCAGGGGAGTGGTCCAATCAAAGTGGCAGGCACCATCATCCTTCCATCAACGCTTTCTCTACCATGGTCAGTTCGAATATGAAGAACAAAGCGATCTTCAGGGCTGCCAAGATCCAGATACCACCGGTACATTCTAAGCAGGGGTGGACTGTCAGCCAATCCAGATACTTCATCGCTTAAGAGGTATGCTCCCATTCAACCAAGCAACACCTATACTATCTTTACTATCTGTTTAGCACTACAATAGCTCAATATCAGTACCCCGAAATGCGAGTTTAAGACTTTTTCGGGCAGAGTTACATCTGTCAAGCGCCAACCGAGAAAGACCCACTGCGAATTTCGACTTTAGTGCCATGAGGTAGCGATGATGCATGCATATCATCGGGCCCTTGTCACTATTTGGAACACTCGCGTTATCTTGACTCTTGGTCAATCTGCACCGAACAAGGCTTATCCGACTTTCATACGAATACAGTAGATGCAGAAATGGGTGTAAATCTGGAGAAACGAAGCAATACTGTTCCTGAATCAGATAACTAGCAGGTTCACTATTGAGATCAGGATTGTTCCCCGGCGTTCCGCTAGGGGACCCATTAGCGACGATCATCCATTCCCGGCTGGCTAGATTGAATTTTGGGCATCGGGTAGCCCTGTCAATGCGTAGACAAGAGGACTATTGGTAGTCGGAGAGTGCCTTGACTGTTCATACGAGCAGAGAGATGAATGTCGGGATCTCTAGTAACATGACAACAGAATATTTCACGTACAGAAACTATAAATACATCGCGAACGTGACTCCGGGGCCAGCTGACTGGAACATTGATTGATACGCGCCGAATGACTGGGTGGAAGCGCTGCCAGTGACCACTTGTTACCGGTCATTACCAGCGCCCGTCACCTCATCCCCCCCGTCCCCGCTATCAGTCATACTACGTACTACCACCACCACAACCCATTCTTAAGTTCCCTCTCTTCCCTTTCTCTTCCAATTCTCCCGCCTCAACAACTCGCCCACTTCCTTCTGATCAAGCGACTCCGTCTCTCGTCCCAGCCTTGCTCACTTCTTCTCTCTTTCCCCCGTCTTATTATACCCTCCTTACTGCGATCCCTCTCGCCCGCACTTTTACCGCTTCCTTTGATCTGCCCTATCTCTACCCAGAGTCGCCCCGCTCATTGCTTCCCCGCTTCGACCTTGGGGATAGTTTCGATTCCACCCACTTGCGCAATTCGCCTTTGAATCCAGATATCTCGGTGTCGACGGACTCGAGGACTACTTATACCTTCATACCTGCTTTATCTGCAAATCATTCAAAATGAGTAGCCCTAAGCGGAGAATTGAGACAGATGTGAGTACCCCTCGGTACCCCTCATGCCCTTGCGGCGAAAGTGGTGGCAGAAGGAGACTAACGCTTGAGATTCTTCCACTTATAGGTCATGAAGTATGCACTCGCACCGCTATTGCGCTCATATCTTATCGATGACTGACTGACGTTCTGGCAGGATGTACGCACCCTTCCCCGTATCCGGCACCTACCATATTCCCTTCGACTGGGGTTGGAATGAGAACGCGATTACGGATATGGGACAAATCAACAGATATCAGGGGGGCTTGTGCTGATGTTTCGCATAGGTTGATGAGTGATTATGAGGTGACTCTGGTCAATGATAACAGTGAGTGCCCACGGCCTTTTGCCACCGACTTTTGGATACTGACTCTGAATTGTAGTGTATGCAGACCCGGCTTGCCCTGCCATCGTTGAATGCACGAGTGATATTGACTGTTCTCCTTGTTAGGCAAGAGTTCTACGTGCGTTTCAAGGGACCGGAAGAGAGTAAGATCCATACAAGGTCTAACTATTGCAAACCGGACACCTGCTGACATAGCCAGCACCCTTCGCCGGTGGCCACTGGAAGATCCACGTCGAACTACCCGATCAATACCCATACAAGAGCCCGAGTATCGGGTTTGTGAACCGGATTTTCCACCCGAACATCGATGAGCTGTAAGACCGTTTCGACAACTCTCATGTCCTCCGACTGACGCCAGCTGCCTAGGTCGGGTTCCGTTTGTTTGGATGTAATAAACCAAACATGGTCGCCCATGTACGATATGATCAACATCTTCGAAGTCTTCCTTCCTCAGCTCCTGCGCTACCCCAACCCTTCGGACCCTCTGAACGGTGAAGCAGCTGCTATGCTCATGCGGGAGCCGAAAAGCTACGAGGCAAAGGTCAAGGGTACGTCATCACACCACTTGCAACATGCTCTCAACCAAGCTGACCTGTAATTAGAATACGTAGCCAAGTACGCCAGCAAAGAGGCCGTCGACGAAGCCGGAGAAGACACAGAGTCGGAAGACGAACTGAGCTCGGCAGGCAGTTACGAGTCCGGCGGCGAAGAGCCGGCCGGTACAATGGACGACGTCTAGTCCTACCGCAGTTCAGTCAGTCTTAGACCATTTGCGTCTTGGTTTGGACATTTCACACCAGTATATTGCATAGGCATCGTTGTCTATTATCTGTTTTCGGTGTTATTTACTATTGCTGCTTTATCTCTTGGGTGTCAGGCGGGAAGGCGTTTCTGGCGGAGTTCTGTCGTTTCAAGGTGCAGCAATCGTCTACGACGGTCGCAAGAGAAGGTAGCTAATGGGCGATCGGATCATGTAACGTGGGGGGTGTACAAGTGTAGGAAGTCGACCGGCTGATCAGTATATCCTCGACAGCAGCGTGACTTCTGCAGTGTCTGTTGTACTTTCCACCTCTCGCAGATGTTCCAACATAAAGACTGTATATCGCTAATGGAGCATTATTGTTATATTCTCATCCTACTATGGTAGTAGCATAGAATAGAATAGCATATGGTCTTCTCTATATCGTATTGTATGCTTTCATATCATACAGCAAGCGTTTATTTTTCAGCTGTTTAGTACTAGCGTTGAGCACGATCTGCGATCTAACTCAACCCAACTAGACAACACAGGAACGAACAAAGGAGATGAATGCACAATGAAAGATCTGGAGAAAAGTAGTAAGTAAAGCCTCAGCAGCAGCCTAGGCACAGAACAAGGGTATAGAATAGAAGAAGAAAAAGCTGAGAAGAGGAATGTAATGAAAAGCGCCGATGGCAAAAGGGAGAGAAAAACAACAACATAGTTGACCCCCGTCGTCGCCGGCGACCCATCGCGATGCGCGAAGAAAAGAAAAGGGGTATTAAGGGGAGAGATGTGTAAAAAAGGAGCAGGCAAGAAAGAGGAAACGAGTAAAAAGCAGGAATGAAAAAAAAAGAGAAGGGGGTAACAAAAACATTAATCAAACACGTCAAGTCAAGTCAAGTGCGATAAGTGCTGTCACGTCCGTTCCGTCACGTTCGTCCATCTATCCATCCATCCATCCACAGCCGTGTTTCATCTAGTAGCCAGCCCCCTCGATAACACACAACACCTCATGGCACCTATCACATTTGACCTGCCGTCATCTGTCACTTTTCCCCTCATTTTAAATAGTTACAGTTAATCATGTAACCTTCAACACTCCGAATACATCCCTTTTAGCAGCACCGTCTTCATCCGTACTCGACCCCGGCCGCGACCGATTCTTGCGCGTATTTATCACCACTTCCCCCCAGTGTTTCGGGACCGTGCCGCCTGCCTTTGCAGCCGGCGAGGAGGGTTTCTTTGAGCGAGCCGGTGGCGAGTCAGTTGTTATTACTTTGACGGGTGGCGCATCGCCATCGGAGGATGAAGGAGGGGGAACGGTGCTGGGGAGGGTGGCGCGAGGTTGGAGGTGCGGTTGAGGTTGGAGGGACCAGATGTCGATGACGGAGCTGTTGCACATTATCAGTCTTGAGTTCGATATCTGCCATACTGGTGAAGAGAGGCTCACTCTGATGTTCGTTGACAGATTGCTTCGAGGGCTTCTCGTTCGCGCTTCAGGTAGCTAGGGTCTGGGTGGTTGCCTTGGGCACTTTGGTTGAGAGCGCCGTAGCCGTAGCCGGGTTGGTAGATGTCTTCATCGAGGAGGCGAGAGGATTCGGGGTGGTTGGGCTGTAGGGAAGGAGATTGGTTAGTTTTGGGGTTCTAGATGATGGATGCGAAGAGGGTTGGTGGAGTCGGGCGCAAAGGGAGGGAGGAGTGTTGGCTGCGTGCGCTTGTCTTTATTTCGGCAAAGGGATATAGTATTGGACTTACATCGTGGGGTTCCCGACGATTACGTCCTAGACATGAGGCGCAGATACCCATTTGTGCTGATCAGATCGGCGGATTAGAGGTGGAGGCGCAGGAGAGATGTTCAATGACGGTAGTGGTGGTAGTGGTGGTTGGAACGGCTTGATTATAAACGCAGATGTTGGGGTATGGTGAAGAAAGAGCAAGGCGAATGAATGACTGGAATGAGCGTCTGGATGTTGAATTGGATAGTAGAAACGCGCCGGGCGGTGGTGCTCAAGCGAAGATGATTTGCGAAGGTGGAATGCGTGGTTGGTTGGTTAGGTGATTGAGATCTTGGGTGACTTGAAGGGAGTGACGGTTTGGATAATTCGGTGGGTTGGGAGTGGCCCGTGCGAGCCGATGTCATCGGAATCGGGTGGATGTAGTATGAGTGCCTTGAATGGCATCCATTGAAGTCACTGGAGGTTCTTTATCAGCCAACTTGAACTTCTAAATAGTTACAATGGTCTCAAGTGTTGGATTTATGCTCCGTTGAATGTCACGCCAGGAGGTGCTGTGGTTACTAGAGGGTTATACTGTCACATGCCTGGTGGAACAATCATGCCGTCGTATGATCTTTGACATTCAAAGTCTACAGCTTATACTAGGTATCCTGGCTTAATCGTCATTTCTTCCATAGTTTAACCTAGACATATACCAATGGCTACTGGTCGCATGCATTCATTTGCGCCTTTAACCCGGAACTGTTTCACAATAGAACAGAAAACCCAATGGCATGATTCGCAAGCAGGTCCTACAGAACAACAAAGATACTCTTACTGGTATGATAACTCGAATCTCTCTTTTGCATATTACATATACTAAATGTTGAACACAAAAGCAATAAAGTGTCAAGTCTAATATCAATCCACTCTATACCATACTTCATACTCCATAGGGCACAGAGACACCATCAATCCTCCGAACGCGTGGCCGCACCACACCCGCCCGTGGAAATAACCACTCACCAACATCCGCCGACATTTTTCACTCCACACCATCAACCCTCAACTGTCATCACCACTCTCCTCTACCAACACCAAACCTCACACAAAATCACTGCAGACAGACATGTTCGACCTTCCCAGCGCAAAGCGGTACGCCACTACACCACCCACCCACCTACCAACCCCAATCCCAATCCCAACTTCAAGCCCACTAACCAACCCCCAACAACAGCGTCCGTCGCGAAGAACTCCTATCCCGAACATCCACCTCACCCTCACCCTCCCCACCCCCGGAATCCTCCCTCACAGACGTACACCAACGTCTCGGCGCCCTCCTAAACATCGACTCCCTCCTCGCGCCTCAATCCGACGACCCAACACCACAACCCACCACCAACGCGGACGAAGAAGAAGAAGAACAAGAATTCGAATTCCGACTGTTCAGCGCCCCCGCCAAATCCTCATCCAAAAACGAAGAGCCAGCAGCTGTTGTCGAGTCATCTAGCACAACCCAAGCCCAGAAATTACGTATTCGGGTACGTTCGCCGACGCCTGGCGCAGTGGGCGTGGAAGATGGACGCTTTGTGAATCCGTTTCGGGGATGGGGGTATTATTTCTCTGCGCCGGGGATGATGGCCGGGGAGAAGGAGAAGGTGCAGGAGGAGGAAGAGAGGTTGAGGGAGAAGAGGAGACAGTTTGAGGATGTGGCTGTTTCGGGGGTGCAGGTTGTGGGGTTTTCGGGGGTTTCGTGGGTAGGTTATTCTATTCTTTATAATTGTTCTTGGGTTGTTTTTCATGGGGGTGGGTTTTGCTGACTCGGTTTACTTTATCTAGCCTGGGTGCCATTTGCCCTGGAGGGTTGTTACGTTGAAGAGTGAGAAGAAGAGTAAAGGTGCGGCGGTGACGTGCGCGAAGGATCCCGCGGAACGGGCGCCGACGTCGTTGAAGAAGCCTGGCAAGAAGCGCCGGATTCAGTTGCGGAAGCGGGTTTCGGCTGCGGAGGAGAGGAAGAAGAAAGAGGAGGAGAAGAAGTTGTTGGAGGCGGAGAAGCGGAATCGGAAGAATCGTGAGAAGAAGATTAAGCGCAGGCAGAAGGCGAGAGAGGAGAAGGCGGCTAAGGCTGCTGCTGCTGGTGCTGCTGGTGAGGCTCCGGCTGGTCAGATGGATGTGGATGTGTCTTCGGATGAGGGTAGTGATTGAGGGAGTTGGTTATCTTATTGAGTGTATGTATGTTCTTCTAGCTCAGTTTCGGCTTATGATACCCAGGTTGATATCGAATCATTGATTTGATTAATCAGATTTTTCTAGTTTTTGCTACACAATACACTACGAGTGAACTGAGATACTTGCTTGACGCGGACAGACTGAATTATTAGACTATGCGAATACGCATGGCTATTGAAAGCAGTACAGGGTATATGAAAAAAAAAGGTGGATATCAACAAGAGAAGAACAACAACAACAACAACAACAAAATGAAATCAGCGCAGTCTATGCTGGGGTATGAGAAGATGATGCAAAGGGTAGGAAAATGATGCCACGGGCGAAGGAGTGGATGATGCACGCAGTGAGAGCTGCATCAGCTTGAAGCCTAAGGGCAATTATTTGGTTTCTTTGTCTGCGCATGGTCAGTCAGTCAGTCATTCTTCGTTACATTTGACGACGGTGGGCTATTTGACTTACCAGCTGCGTCTCCAGCAGTCTCGGCGGGCTTAGCAGCGGCATCAGATGCACCGGCAGCGGCTTCCGCATGAGCTTCCGTCTCAGGCTTTGCCTCGCCAGCCGGGGACTCCGTCACCTCAAGGGTCGGGGGAGCGGCGGAAACACCACCTTCGGTCTGAGCCTGCTCAGCGGGCTTGTCGGCGGCTGCATTATGACATGGTCAGTAAGTGGTCGCGGCGAATGTTATGAGAGTGGAGAACGTACCAGGAGTGTTCTCAGCAGGAGCAGCAGCACCTTCGGGGTTCTCCTCGGCAGTCTTCTTCTTCTTGAAGATAGCCTTGAGCTTGTTCTTGATGTTCTTGAGGAAGGCTGGGATGGGAGGTCAGTTGAGAAGTCCATACGCGCGTACGCAAGACGATCTGCGGGGTTTTACTCACCAGGCATGTTGGCTGTTGGAGGGGTAGTAAGAGTAGTAGATAAGGAGGGGAAGTTCGGTATACTCGAGAGATGATGAAAGGATCAACAACCACAACGGTGAGATGTAGCAGGAAAGTGTAGTATAGAGAACAAAGAAAAGTTCAAAACACAGAAGACAAGGACAAGAAAGAAATAAAAAAAAATAGAAGGCTTCGTATGGCCGTAGTTATGTGTCCTCCACGTGACGGGGGGCACGGTCCTGATGTTGATCGCCAGCGCCCTTAATCTGTTTCTGCTCTTCGATGCCTCCTATTCTTTTCGCTTCAGGGACCCTTTTTTCTACTAGCTACCGAGTAACATCCTGCCTCATCTCCCACCCCCCCTCTTTCATGTCCCCGCCGACCACTGCTGCTGATCCACTGGCGCCGTCATCTAAAGGTTTACCTATTAGTCATGACAACTTAGCTAGTTCTCTAGCTTGCTAACCCCTGGGTCTATCCAAACAACTACTCTATCTAGGGAGTTAATATACGAGGGATGGGCAAGTGCATCGGCACCCCGCCGCGTTAGTAACCCTCGGTTCGCGCATCTATTGCCAACGGAGCAGTTGATCCCGGCTCGACTATCCTGTTCTTGCAGTGGTGGCTGCTGCTGCTCAAGAATAGCAACTTAGCAACTCGAATTATGGAGACCATCGTACTTTCTGTCCAAGCGCCAGGGGGTGGTGCATGAAGAAGTGCGAGTCAGGAGTAGACTGTGACTGACTGGCTGTATCTTCTGCTTCCCTTCCTCCTGGAAGCGACTTTTTTTTTTCTTTTTCCCCCTCATGGCCCTTCTTTTCAGGGGCAACCCTTATCGTGAGATTGACCAAGCGCTGTCAATAAAACCCCGACAGAGAAAATGTACGAGGATCTAGTAGTCCATCACGGGCCCCACTTTTACTTTCGCGAACAATCCTTATTCTGCGCTTATTTGGGACTATTAGATGAATTAGGTTGCCGTGAGTGGAGACCTTGATATAGGGCACGGAAATTGCCCTACTTCAGGTCAATGGACTCACATCGCCGTGGTGGTTTTTTTTGTTTTGAGAGTTGGAAATTGCTGGAGCACTCTATCTTAGAAGGTCCGGTTGACTCCGTCAAATCTTTGTATATTGTTAGTTTGTTTCATCTCTGCATGCACGATGCGCCCGTTAGCCAGTGACAATCTTGGCGGCGCGCCGTTTGCCAGTCCATAGGTACTAGGCTTTTGTTCAACAGTCGGCCGACATGGTGTGTGCAGCACTCGTTAAGGCTATGGTCCTGACTTTCAGCTGTATCTAATATTCCAGGTCACGTCCATTGGTGCTTCATTCATGCTTGCAGTCGATGTCCAGTGACGAATAGGTGGTTGTCTACTCCGTACTGGGTGACATGACTTACGAGGCCAGAATTAGAATGATAGGTCGAGTGCAAAAATAGGACTTGCCTGTTTGCCTTAAGTGATTGTGAGATTCAGACCTGTTCATCGGATCAGGGGGGAGGAAAGGAACTAGACCAAGCGTCTGTTCATGTCTGTTCAAGTCTGATCCATCGTAAATACGACCGGGTCTGAAGAGCCATGGTTAGAAACCCGCGAAAGTCGAAGATAGCTCACATCAAGGTTCAGCAATAACCGTGGAAGGGCAAGTGTCCGACCGCCCCATTCTCAGTGCCCTGGGATTCGTCGAGAGCTTCAGTCTGCCGAAAGTTACGAAGGGGAGACGAGCCGTCATGGTGGATTTGGATAAGCTTGGAAGCGGCAAATGATCGGTCGCGTTATCGCCCGCTCTTTATCGGAGCGCCGCCCGAATTACCGCCGCTCCGCCAAGTTGCGTTGCACACCAACCTAAACCCAACCCACCGGTCCACCGCTGTATATCCGACCAGAATATTGGTGGTACAGGTATGCGTGTTGATCAATCCAGAACAGCGGCTTCGAATGGACCTCAAGGAGAGCCGGTGTCCGAACAGACGCCCCTCCTTGGGGATCACTCGCCGAATGAACAAGCAGTGCCTTCGGGAGACTCCGAGGTCCCCTTGGCCGATGAACCCAGCTCGAAAGAGCTCATCCTCGTCCTGGGAAGTATCTGGGTAGGAGTCTTCCTGGCTGCCTTGGGTATGACCTGTCCTACTACAGGTGCCTCTTCCGCTGGAGCTGACCGTGTTAGACACTACAATTGTCGCTACTCTCACTGCTCCCATCTCGTCTTCCTTCCAGTCCTTCACTTTACTGTCCTGGCTCGCAACCTCCTACCTGATATCTAATGCTGCCTTTCAGCCGCTGAGTGGACGTCTTACTGATATCTTCTCTCGGCGCACTGGGCTGGTCTTTTCGAATATCTTCTTTGCAGCGGGAAACTTGATCTGTGGCCTGGCAAAAACCGAGGGGACTATTGTACTGGGGCGCGTCATCGCCGGTATCGGTGGCGGCGGGTTGACTGCAATTTCGACCTTCGTCACCTCCGACTTGGTGCCCTTACGGAAACGAGGAGTTTGGCAAGGCATTGGTAACATTTGCTATGGAGCCGGAAGTGGACTGGGTGGTGTATTTGGAGGATGGATCAATGACACTTTGGGTTGGCGATGGGCCTTCTTAATCCAGGTACCTTTCGTCGTGGTGTCCGGCATCCTCGTAGCGGCCACAGTACGAGTGCCGGTCAAGGCCACTGACAACGCCAAATTGAAACGGGTTGATTTCCTCGGAGCTCTCACTCTTGTTGCCAGTCTCGTTCTGCTCCTGCTGGGGTTGAACACTGGAGGCAACCAGGTGCCGTGGACTCACCCTCTCATTCTTGTCTCGTTGCCGCTTTCCGCGGTCTTCTTTGGCCTCTTCATCTACGTCGAGGCCAACATCGCGTCCGAACCGGTCATTCCTGTCCGGTTGCTTCTGGACCGCACGGTGTTCTCAGCCTGCCTGACCAACTGGTTCAGCACGATGGCGGTCTTTGGGCTTTTGTTCTACCTGCCGTTGTTCTTCCAGGTCCAAGGCTTGTCCGCCACAAGTGCGGGTGTGAGACTGATTCCCCAAGCCATTGGCACCTCTCTCGGCTCACTGGGATCGGGCATCCTGATGCGGTCAACCGGACGATATAAGCTTTTCAGCTATGTGTCCATGTCTCTGATGGTTCTCTCCAATGTGCTGATCTGCACACTGTCACTCACGACCCCGTCGTGGCTACCCTTCATCTACTTCTTCCTGATGGGCACTGCCTATGGGAGTATGCTGACCATTACGTTGGTGGCACTTATTTCTGCTGTGGACCATGAGCACCATGCAGTCATCACATCTGCATCATACGCATTTCGCAGCACGGGAAGCACCATTGGCATCACCGTTGCCTCTGCCGTGTTCCAAAATATCCTCAAAACCGGACTATGGTCTCGGTTTGGAGATCGCGAGCATGCTGGCGAGCTGATTGGACGGATCCGCGATAGCCTCGAGGAGATCAAGAAGCTCCCTGCAGACTGGATCCCGGGGGTATTGGATTCATACATGGACTCATTGCGCGCCGTGTTTCTGACATTGCTGGGACTCAGCGTACTGGGGGCGATAGTCAGTATGGGAATGCGCGAGCACAAGCTGCACTCGAACTTGGCGCGGAGAGAAGAGTAGCGGGGAGTATAGAAGAAGAGATTGACGATTGATTGTGGGCGATATGTAAAATTGGAGACAGCGTAAGAAATAGAGAACATACTACTACTTGTACCGACCATTCCTACCGAACAGAACAGTAATAGCGACATCATCATCGGGTCAAGGCTGCAGGGTCCACCGCCCACCCGCCAATAAGCGCCGGTCTCTTCCGCAGACGAACCAGGAGTTCCTCTCCAGCGCAGCCTCTGGATCTTCCATTAGTTGAAAGACGAAACATATTCCTCTCCACTGAGGTAGCAGTGGCACGACTCTCCTCCTCCTTCCTCTTCGCTTCTTTTTTCCCTCTCCTCCAATTTTTCCCCCGTCTCTCCTTAATCTCCTCCATTCCGATCATCCCCGAAATCCCCTCAAATCGATACTTGGACGATAACCTGGGTGGCGTTGAAAGTTGCGCTGCAGACGTGGCGACGGCAGACATCTTGGACATTTGACGCCCAAGCTCCGTTGCTAACTGGATTTCATTAACAACTAATTAATTCGCCCTGCAAGTCCCGCTGTTGCTTCAAACCCGGCACACCGCTTCCTCCCTAGCCTGTCCGATCAGCCCACCCGTCACTCAACACGTACTGCTTCCAGATCCGCAGTGCGGTCCGGTTCCTGCCCTCGTCTTGCTGTGCATGGCTTGGGCTTCCTAATTACTGGTCTGGCCTGGAGGGAGAAAGAGACAGAGAGAGCTTTACATTGGGTTGCAATTGATCGACCGCTAGCCCCGGCTGGCCGACTTATATTCATACAATCGTCACCAGCTTGTATTTACTTTTTCTGTTGCAGGGCATTTCCTTCGCCGTTCTTGCGCACTGGCTGCGATTTCTTCCTTTCGACGGTACACCAAAAGACTAATCCGGGGTTTGCTGGCTGCACAATCCCTGCAGGCGACAGGTTCTGGGCGCTCTCCCTTTCCTCTCCAACGAATCGAATCGTGACGTGACTGGACTATATTACCGCGGGATCTGCGTCTTAGATCGTTCTCTTACGACATATTTCTTTTTCCGTTCTTTCCTCACTGTGATGGCTGTCGGTTTTGGCGCAAGTTTCCCCTCGACCTCGACTGGTGTCGCAACGGTGGTTTCAAAGGGTGTCTGGTCGTCGGAAATGGAGGTCACTACAGAAATGGGAGGAAAGTTGACGGAAAATACCACTACGACCCCCATGCAAATAGATAATCAAATACAAGAAGCCCCGGGCTCTTCTCCTCCTCGTCGGAAACGCTTACTCCTCTCCACCGAGAGTGCTTTTGTCGACAACATACTTCCTTCGCTGGTTCAGAATCCCGAAATTGAAATACGGTTGATCACAGACGAACCCTCCGCCCTTCTGTCGGGCGCAAGCAAGGTTCCTCATTATATGGACACGGTGGATAGTCAAACATTCGAAAAGAAGACTGGGGCTCGGAAATGGCTCAAGGCCAAGGCGGCGGAATTGTGCGAGTGGGCTGACATGCTGCTGGTTGCGCCGATAGATGCTGGAGCGTTGGGGTCGATGCTATATGGGCTGACCAACACGTTGACGTTGGCGCTCCTGCGGGGTTGGATCTCGTCGAAGCCGGTGGTGCTGATCCCTGGAATGACGGTTTCAGAATGGCACCATCCACTGAGTAAAAGGCAACTTCGTGAGGTGGCAGAGTTCTGGCCATGGATCAGTGTGGTGTCACCGGTGCTGTGGGAATCGGTCAGTCCGGAGGAGCTGGTTCAGTTACCATGGGAAGGCTTAAAAGAACTACATGAAGTTCTCGAACGAACTTTGGGTCTATCGTTCTCTCAGGTCTCCACTAAGCCTGGCCAGCTTACAGATTCTACATACCCGACCGGCATTTCGGAGCAGATGCCTGGTGATGCGGCGTCCACGATATCGCGACACCTCCTGCATCGAAGCAATAAAACGGAAAGTGGCCCGCGCTCACTACCCATGGAGCTATGGCTCAATATCTTCGAAGACCAATTACACGACTGGGAAATCGCAAAGGCAGTTGGCATCCCAACCAATCTGCCCGTGCCGAAGGAATGGCAAAATCACCTGCTAAAGATGTCGACCCCAGCTTCCTTGGAATACACCATTCTCAGAGGATCCTTCGCCGCAATCAAAAAGCGTATTGATAGCCTGCCGCGATGGAAGCCCCTCTCCGACCTTGTATGCCACCTCATCTTCAAGTTCTCTCGAACCGATATCCTCTCCTACCTCACCGAAAACCATCTCGATTTACTCTGGACCACCTCCCGACTCACCAACCTGCCATACCGCGCATCCGCCATCTACGGAAACCCCAACATCCTTACCTGGTGGCGCGATGCCCCCGCCCTCCCCAACAAAGAATACATCGCCGACGCAATGGACGGAGCCTCCCGCGCCGGCTTTGTCAACGTCCTAGAATGGTGGCGAACCTCCGGCCTCGAACTTCGGTATACCGAGCGCGCCCTTGAAGCCGCCAGTGCCGAAGGCCGAGTAGCCGTCCTCGCCTGGTGGAAAGCCGCCTCGGCCAACGCACCCCCTTCCAACCCCATCCCCCTCAAAGTCGGCAAATCCGTCCTCCTTGCTGCCCAATCCGGCCGCACCGCTTCCCTAGCCTGGTGGGACGCCTCTGGCATTCCCTACACCCATGGTGAATCCGTTGCCCGCATCGCCAGCACACACGGCCACGTCCACGTCCTCGACTTCTGGTACCGTCTGAAAGGCGCTAAGATGATTTTCGACAGCCAAGTTCTCGTCGGGCCCACCAAGAATGGTCACGACAACGTCCTAGAATGGTGGCGTCGCAGCGGACTCCGCGTCGAGTTCAAAACCTGCGACATTGAAGAAGCTCTCGAGGACGCGGACCCGGTCTCGGGTGCTGAAGAGCGTGTCCGCAAATGGTGGGCCCGGAACGGGCTTAACCTGGGTGTTGGAACGAGTGAGTGGATGAAGACGAAAGTGTTGTGATTGATAAGGTTTAATTGCTCTTATTACTTGTTAAGATACCTCTTTCTTTGTTTCCCTTTCCGCCTTATTCCTTCTTGTCTATTCACACCAACATGATCGAAAGTTACTTCTAATACCCCGTTATTATCTTCGTTTCTTCTCCGCTGGCGTCTTTTCTACCATTCCATCGTCCTTCTGTTCATACTTATTTTTCTTCTATTACTTTGCATGGAGGGCCTGGGCTGGTATATATTATCGCATTGCATGCATGCTATCGTGCATGGGGAAGAATATGAACTCGGTATTTAGCGTTGCTTTTATTGTTGTACCTTTTTGTAGGTTAGGGTAAAAGGCAAACTTTTTATCACATTCATCCTTCATTTGAAAACTCTTGGAATTAAACTTGAGTTCATTACATACCTCGGAATAATGTGACCAAGTGTCTGTATTGAGGTATACTACCTAAGTATTAGTACTTTGTATGTGAGAAGTATAGTATCATTGATTTGTAATATATGTATATATACTACCCAGAGGGAACCGAACGTATAATACTCAATCGAAGTTGATAACATAGAATCATAGTACGATGAAATGAACCAGTCAAAATATCCATGACGGGTATTAATCTATGTATAACCTTTAATAGTAACCATACAAGACTGTAAATAAATCGTAGCAACAATAAACTAGTAACTATCTATCTAACCCTCTTCGCGTAAACCCCCCTGGGGCCCCGAGTCATAGTAGTGTCACAATAGTATCGTAATTGCATTAATTCTACCCAGGCAATTCTTGTTATATAATTTGCTTCGACTTCGATGACATATGAATGTAGAGATGAGAATACTACTGTGTAAGTGCAGCCGGGTACACGTTTAGTACTGATTTACTGGAGGTTCTCCTGGCCCCTTCTTAACTGATTCCTTTCGGTGACATTGGTATAGCAGAATAAATCATAGGGTGCTACTTCATACAGAAAACTCATCTAACAACTACCCCGTGCGCCTCATGCCATGCGGACACCAGCCGGACAAAGGTCAATGAAGAAAAGGGAAATGGAGTGACGTCAAACGTTTAGGCCGTCCTTGCGGAGTTCATACTTCTTTCTCTTGTCGTAAATGAAATGTGCAGGCCGTTTCAGAATGGATTGTGTGCTTGAGTTGGGTTGATGTGATATCAAGTGATGCGATAAAAGGCGGGGTAGGGAAGTGTTCGTCTAAACTTCTCTCCTGCTGGGGTATTAGGCGTAGATCTAGTTAATTTAGTAGGAGACAAACCTACCAGGTAGGTTCATGCTTCTCAATGCCCGGAGTGCGAATGGCGTTGCGGTCGCCAAATGGATTGTCCTCATCGTCATCGTCTTCCGTCTCTGACTCGCTGTCATTATAGACTTTCCTTGATGAGGATGGTACAGATATGCTCAAGGGGCGAGGGGGACGAGGTGGCTTCGGGGGGTTGACAACCAGCCCTGCGAATGAGTCGGGCAGGTCGTCGCGGTCAGGGGTCCATCCCGTCTCCAGGACATCCTGGTCGCTGTCACTGTCGTAGTCTACACTCTTGTCTAAGACTTCGAATGCCATAAGTGAGGTGACTAGCTCTTCGTTTGCGTGAATCAAACTACCCAGAAACTCCTCGCTTTCCACGTGCTGGATGTATCGCAGAATTTGGCGCCGTAATGTTTTGCAAGTCTCAAACCGGTTGAGGACTTCGGCATCTTCGCTAACCCGGTGCGTTTCGCGGTTGACTAGCTTGAGGGCATTGAGGAGGTTTGTGCTGGCGACGGAGGCTGATGCGAGGGTCTGTAGTATTTCCGGCTTCTCTTTCTCGAGGTTGAAAGACCTGCTTAGTGTCTTCTTTTCCTTCTTCTCCTTCCTGAAAGATGAGAGGGACGATTTGCTGGATGTGTGCTTGTGCTTGGGGCCACTGAGAACTGTAGCAGGTCCATTTCCGGCTGACACAGACACCGTATGGCCCATCGTAGGTTCGTCGGATTGCCCCGCATCTCGCAAAACTTTGGCTTTTGCCTGAGTAGCCGGCTGCTTACGCTTTGGTAGTTGTCTGTAAAGACCTGTAACCCGCTCCATGCCGGGAGTGTTCTTGTATGAGGCAGCCCATTGCCCGAAAAGCTGTTTGCATTTCTCTTTCACCAAGGGATCGGAAACCGGGTCGGTCGCAGCGATTCGTAGTCGTTCCAGTAAGGGCTCATCTGCAAATTCCCGCAGAAAGCGGTCGCCGGTGTTCTGGATTAGGAAGTCGAGAATTGTAAGGGCTCGCAATTGGCGGTGAAGATTGCCATACTTGCTGGGAGGGCGTTAGAGCGCTGTCGAGCAGAGGGAGTGAAGACACTGACAGCTTCTTACGCAAAGCGCGACTCGCTTCAGTAGGACCACTGGCCTGGATGCGAATGGCCTCGATAAGGTCCACGATACCACTGGAATCTTCCACCTCATATTGTTCGCTGGTGAGGACCTCGATCTGGACCGTCACAGCCGAATACGGCTTCTATAAATGAGCACATATATTAGTCCGTGAACAAGGGAGTGATGGAACCACATTTATATCTGTGAGTTTGCAGATAGATGTGAGTGTTGTGTAATTGACACTGTCCTCAATGCCAATTGGGCTAGGCCGCGGGAAGTTGCCAAATCGACTTACCGACGAGTGAAACATGGTGAAAGCACCGGACGAGGTGTATAGAGTCAATATTCAATGACAACGAACGAAAGAGACAGCTCCGCAAGTATTCAAATATGTGAAAACGATATTTGGAACTCTCACATGCGTATCGAATTATCTCCAATACATACAGGAGGATCGACCCGGTTAAGGAGAGGTGGGTCGCGAGACGAGACGCAGTGGATTGAACCCCCTTTGTCCTCTTTGTGCTCACAATTATATCCCGCCGACAAGCAAGAGAGTGAGCCCACAATGGTCTTACCCAACAGGGACCCTTCCCGGTGCCTAGAGAGATAGATATCTATCCAGCGCGCAGCGGGGATGAAGCAGAACGGTGACGTGTTAGGCCAACTGGATAGCCGCTGTGCTGCCTTGGCGGGGGGTACAGAAGGACCTGGTACACTAACAGGAGTAGCTTTGCATTGGCAGACTACTCGGCAGTGAATTGATCTCGCAGACCAGCAGCGTTGGAGCCGTTTGAGCTGCAGCAACTGCAAGAGACGAAGGATTGGACCGGCGCCTCCAACGTCATGCGGTGTTGATTCCATCCCGATCTCGTGACTGCCCCTCTTGCCTGTCCCAATTGGGACAAGTGCGGGGGAACTTTCCGACTCAGTGCCTGATTTGCCTGATGTGCGCCTGGGGCACACTCCAATGGCCCACGCCGATCCCGGGCTTCTTCATTCCTGCGAATTTGAACGGACAAGCATAATCCCACGAGCATTTCTGACCCCCAGTAATTGGACCTCGTTTGACGCAGGAACTGCTCGAATAATTAACACGAACAGTTCGTATCCTGTTGCTCAACTATTCGCCACCGTTAGCATCCCAATTCCATGGGTCTCTGGTCAACGAATGCGGCAGATCCTTGCTCCATTCGCAGGCCGCGTACTATCTCCATCTTCTCCCGTCTGGTCCTCTGCTCCACTCTGCTACTGGGTGTCAGCTTCATCTTAAAAACCCGCCCTCATCTGCTTCCATCCCTCCCCCACCTATCCCCCTCCTACTCCTCCTATACCCAACCCACCATCATGTCCTACCAACAAGAACGCTACATTGCCGAGCTGGCCGTCCAGCGTGCCACCCTCCTCACCCAGAAGGTCTTCAACGAAAAGGCCAAGGGCACCGTCTCCAAAGATGACAAGTCACCCGTTACCATTGGCGACTTCGGCGCCCAGGCTCTGATCATCCAAGCCATCCGCAAGAACTTCCCCAATGACGAGATCGTCGCCGAAGAGGAGGCCAGCAGCCTCCGCGAGGACAAGGCGCTGAGCGCCGAGATCTGGAGACTCGTTCAGGATATCAAGTTGGTGGACACCGAGAGTGACAACCTTCTGGGAGGCCCTCTGCCTAGCGAAGAAGCGATGCTGGACATCATCGACCAGGGCAAGAGTGCTGGTGGTGCCAAGGGACGTATCTGGGCTCTGGACCCCATTGACGGCACCAAGGGTTTCCTGCGCGGTGGTCAGTACGCCGTCTGTCTCGGTCTGATCGAAGACGGTGATGTCAAGGTGGGCGCCATTGGCTGCCCTAACCTGCCTATCAATGATGCCGAGACCATGTCCGCGGGCATCGGCGCCGAGCAGTCCAGCGGCACCGGCAAGGGTGTCCTCTTCTCCGCCATCCAGGGTGTTGGTTCCATCAGCCGGCCCCTCACCAACGGTGCTCTCGCGGAGAGCAAGTCCATCTCCATGCGCCCCGTCCCCGATATCGCTCAGGCCGTGTTCTGTGAGGGTGTCGAGGCTGGTCACTCCGCTCAGGACGACAACGCCGCCGTTGCTAAGCTTCTCGGTATCACCTCCCCCAGTGTGCGTCTGGACTCGCAGGCCAAGTACTGCTCGATTGCCCGCGGTGCTGGTGACATCTACTTGCGTCTGCCGGTGCGGAAGGACTACCAGGAGAAGATCTGGGACCACGCTGCGGGTGACCTGATCGTGCGCGAGGCTGGTGGTCAAGTGACGGATATCTACGGCCAGAGACTGGATTTCAGCAAGGGCAGGACCCTGGCGGCCAACAAGGGAGTTGTCGCGGCCCCCAAGGCCCTTCAGGACCAGGTCATCGGTGCGGTGAAGACTGTCCTGAAGTTGTAAGGGCTAGGTGACGATGATAAAGGGATTTTTTATCATGAATGTAATAGATTCTCGATCAGTTCTGTCAGACCGTGCACGCTAGATGCGTCTCTAAAAGTACATAAAAAGAAAGGATACCAATTGCGAACCAAAAGAACCGTGCTCGGATATACATGTACAGAAATAATAAACACAGTTTCGTTCCCCCAAAATATAGACGCCAATTTCAACGAATCTTCTTGTCCTTGAGCTTGATCGTCTCGCCATTGACGAAAATACCCTTGCCCTTGTAAGGTTCCGGCTTGCGCCATTCACGGATCTCCGCCGCGAACTTGGTCACAAGCTGCTTGTCCACACTCTCCAGCAGGATACGAGTCGGCTGAGGTGTGCTGGCCTTGACGCCCTTGGGAATACCCAGCTCAATGGGGTGCGAGTATCCGACCTTCAGGGACACGAACTGCTGACCGGGGTATTGGGGCTCCACGGTGGTCGCCGTGGGTTCAATGGTAGCTCTGTAACCGACACCAACGAAACTCAGAATGCAAATGTGACCTTCCGACACTCCGAGGATGTGGTTCTGTAGATGGGCGCGCATGGTTCCTAGAAAAACAATCCCTCGTCAATTATGATCCAGCAATGAATTCATTTCCAACGGAGTAACGCACCCCACATAGCACGCTGGTGAGTGATCTCTGAGTCTTGAACGGCAAGAGTAGCTTTGCGAAGGGCTTCATCGTAGTCGATTTTAACGTAGGAAGGGACGTTCAGCGACAATTCACCTAGCGCTCAAATGTCAGTTTCGCTCCGCTTTTCAGACGCCACTGTTATGAAGTGTAGCCATTGTTCCTTACCCAGGGGTCCTTTGACCTCAACGGCCATGTTAGGGAAGTCAACAGACTTGGCCTTGGTCTTGGGCTGAGGGAGGTCGATGAACTTCAGGGACACCTCCGGGGGCACCGTGATCGCGGCGCCGCCAACTCGCGATTGTACCGGGGACGTGGTCGAGAAAGGTTGTGTCCGGAGAGGGTGAGAGAAGGCAGGGACGAGGAAGTTGGGCAGAGGTCCTTGTCTCAAAGGACTCCGCGCAAGCTGCCTAAAGCAGCTCTGAGACAAGTAACATGACATGGCGACGGTAATTGTGGATTTGAGGTCTGTATGAGTGCTTGGGAACTCCGATGCCGACTGATTTTGTCCGGAGATCTTGCACTCCCGATGTGGTTAGTGTGGGGTCACGTGATGGGCTGTATAGATGGCACGCTCTCACTTCCCTTTTACTTCCTCCACATCGCAGAATGTTGTTTGAATAGCTGTGGATTTGTTTTCTTTGAACCCTAGTTTGAGTTGATTTGTTATTCTGCTGATTGTTCTGATGTGATTACCGGGTGTCTCATCACTGTACTACAGCTTCGGATGTGCTGTTGCTTTGACTGTTGCTAAGATCTTGCTGCTTCGTACTTTTAGCTCGCAGCTTGTATACCATCCAATTGCTATTCTTTTCTCTTCTCTGCTTGATAATATCTGCTATTTTAATTAACATAATCTCTGCGCTTTTCTACCGCTAACATCCCCAGGGTTGTGACATATCACCACAGCCGAAATGCCGGGAAGCTCAGGCATTAGAATGTCCTTCACTTTGTTACGCTACCTAATACTAATACTAAACATCTGCAATGCCACAATTTCTGCTAGTTCAATGGATGGTACGTCTGCTTACACCCTTGGTTTGGCTTACGCTAACCTACTAGCAAGTGCTTTCGGCCGAAGACCGAAATTCGAACATGGACGCCGATCTAGCCTCTTTATTGACTTCCAAAAGCCACCAGCGTGAAGTGCTATTTTCAGATGCACTCGGACTTCTGCAGTCAATACAGACTCTTCCATCTTGTCATCAAATGGCAGTTTCAAAACTCGTTACTTCCTGCCAGTCGATCGGGGGCAGATCTGAAAAGCCGGACCCACACACATTTACGACGCTGGAGCACATCCGCTCAATTTACGCGGCAAGACTTGCCATATGCGAGCTCAATGAAGCGGGTGCTGCAGTTCCCACTTCATGTCATCCTATAACTATGCGGCTGCCGCAGAAGAAAGGGCTCTTCGGGCTGTCCACCGGTTATAAGACCCACTTTAATGCTGCAGAAACCGTTACCAAAGGACAATTGGAGTCCTGTCTCCGTTCTCTAGAGTCACGGCCGCAGTGGTGGACATCATATAGTAACAGTAGGCAAAATGCCGTGGTCATATGCCAAGCAGCCAGATTTGAGAATGAACGGGAGGAAATCATTGAACTCCACCGGTCTATTATTGAAGGCACGATAAAGCTTGATCATGGGCTTCAGAAAGCATTGAAAGTGGCCGCAACTGGGCTCTCTCAATATAAGGACTTCCTGCAATCAGTGGAAGACATGAGAAGCAAGCTGGTCGTCAGCATGGAGGAGACGGAGATACACTTCAAAACTAGGTTCGAGAATTTGATCCTCGACATGGGTGTCCACGTTGGCTCGATCCTAGAGCCTGTGGTTTCCACTATAAGGAATCTACATAGCAGCACGGCGTCTCTTGACAAAGTCAGTAAATCACAGCTTGCTAGAGCTATGACTGACGTATAGCAGGATATAGCGAACGCAGCGGAAGGTGTCAACAGCTTACGGGACATCTTGAAGCTCGTTGAGGATGAAGGCATAGCATGGGGTCAGCAGCAAGCAGTAACTCGACAGCAGGATGCTCTCACAATGAGTGACCTAGTTTCAGACATTCAAAGCGACATAGAAAAGCTGTCTGGCACAGTAGCAAACTTCGACTCTGCCCTAGTAAGCCCTGCCCTCCCATATAACTTCTAGAGATTGACTATGTCAGGAATGGCTTGCTGGCAGGTTTGTCCAGATACTTCAGCAAGAGCAAGACATATCTAAGGTTAGCAGTAACCTGTGAGCATGAGTATTCAGCTAACCTCTTTAGCGCCTAAGTAATCTTGAAAATGCCCTAAGTGGATCTCAAATGATCGCTGAGGACCTGCGCAGCGCTCAACTAGGGCAGAATGAACTCCAAGAGCATATCCTCACAAATATGCGGATCTCTCAAGCGCTTTTCGATAAAACAACGGCCGCAGCTGCGAACCTGCAGACAGTTGTCGACGACACTGTGAAACGACTTGAAGATGTGCCTGCTTCAAGCCGTCTCTTAGGCTCATACCCTACACCCGTGTATAGCCTTTTAATCGGCTTTGTTGGTGCACAAAGCCCCAGGGCAGCCATAGTTCTACTCGTTGTTTCCATATGTACGTATTTTATAGTCTATGCATGACCTAGGCTTGTTTCTGACAGTGTTGATCATAGATCATTTCCTCCTTGATTCATGACATCATGGTCACCAGCATAATGTGATGTTTTATATTATTGCTGTCTTATATCGATAACATGGTACTCAGTGATCAAAATGATACACTATACGATGGTCTGGCTTTCAGTATATTTGCAATGAGCGATAGCACCTTAATGTAGCACGAAGGGACTGTCAGGACCGCCCCCTAAACCGGTGTAAGAGAACAGTAAAGCTCTGAGTAAAGAGATAATTATAGCAGATCCTGTAGAAATAAATGTCATTGACCCAGATGTCAGCTACCTAAGATTAGAGATATTGACTAGCTAGAGTACAGGCTCTAGGCATAGTATGAACAAGGGATGAGAAGTTAGTCCAGATGGACTGCCTGAGCCTTTAGGGTTAAACTGGGCAGAAAACAGCGGTATGATGCGGCAGAAAAGCGCCCGCCGATCAGCAGTCAGTCTCCCTCCACCCTTCGCCGTTCCCTCCCAGCCTCGCTGATCTCGATCTCGACCTCAATTGTCTGAAGAAACTCTGTGACCAGGCGAATAAATATTCATACTGTACGTGCTTCATTCCTACACTGTCATTTATATCCATTCTTCCCGGAGACATCAATCGCAACCCCCGCAGCAAACGTCTCCGATCCACACGCAGACCGCCTTCGCAGCTGGAGCGGGCATCTGGGGTTGCGGTGTTCTCCCCCAGAGCGCCACCTTCGAAGCAAGGTTAGCTGGCTTGATCTCCCCGAGACATTGCTGTGGATGGCGCAGGGGGTGGTTGCACGCTCTGAAGGTGGTGTGAGCTCCTGCCCGGTGGAAGATCGAACACGATGCGTTTCCTTTCTGCCTGGCGATAAGCTGACTTGCTCCCCGCGACTAGCGTTGAGCCTTGATCGCTGGTTCACCACTCGAGCTACCACGGATCGTTTTTATTGGTCGTATCGTCCGGCATCGTGAGCGCGTACAGTCGCATTAAACCCGCGATCGGAGCGCACCCAGCTTTTTCACTACAACGTCACACAAGATAATGACCGATCCCACCTCCGACGCACCTGCTATGGACGAGTTCGCGCAGACTCGAGGTGGCGACGACCTCTTCGACGATGAGATCGTCCCCGTTCCCGCCGTTGAACAGCAACCTGAACCCGAAGTCCATACGGAACCTGCCCCCGCTCCTGTTGTTGAAAGCGATGCGCCGCCACCTGCTCGAACTGACACCCCATCATCACGGTCGCGTGGAGGCGAAAGGCGAGGACGGGGTCGAGGCAGAGGACGTGGTGGGCGGGGATCGCATAACGGAGGCCGTCGTGGGGATGGGGCTGTGAAGAACAAGCCCGTTGAAAGTGCTCCTGAGCCTGAGAATAAGAACGGGGAGGGTTCGACTCCGGAGTCGCCGGCTGAGGGAGATCAGAATGGCAAGGAGGAGACAACGGCGTCGGATCCTAAGCAGGCTGCGGCCGCAGAGGGACCGCGCGTGCCTGCGGTTCGCGGAGACAGAAGTGCTACGGGTGGTTTAAAGAAGGTAGGAGCATCTGCGATATCTATATGTATGCTTGCTAACTCGCTCCTAGCCGAAACTTACGGAAGAAGAACTGTCCCGTCGTATTGCTGCCGCCAAAGAAAACGCTGCCAAAGTTGCCGCTGCACATGCTCGGGCTGAGGCAGACCAAGCGTCGTTCCTGGAGCGCGAGAAGGTTGCCGAGGAGAAGCGACGCCAGGAACGCCAGCATCGCAAGGCCATGGACAATGAGCGGGAGCGTAACCGACTGCGCAAACTGGGTGCCTTGAACGGAAGGGAGTGGGACGCCGAGAAGAAGGAGGAACATTACAATCCCCGTGGTGGCAGGGGTGGCTTCCGGCGAGGTATGCACGGTGGTGTCTCTGGATATGTCCGGCGAGACTTTGATTCCCAGCCCAGTGAAGAAGCCAGTGAAGACGCCCGTCCTCCTCATCATCGGGGTCGCGGACGTGGTGGTCGAGGTGGACGTGGCCGCGGTGGACATCGCGGGCCTCGAGGAGATATTGCAGCGTCCGACGGTGCTGCTGATCAGCCTGCTTCGGGTGAAACCAAACCTAAAGCATCTGCTCCAGTCATCAATAACGAGTCTGAGTTCCCATCTCTACCTGGAAGTGAGAAGAAAGAGAAGGAGAAGGCTGGTGAGGAAGCGCCCCCTACCCCTGATCTGCTCAAGTCGGACTCCTTGTCACCAGTGGCGGGAGCTTCCTGGGCCGATCAAGTCGAGTCTCAGTAATCATACATTTACGAATCTGCCCGGTTTCCTGATCATTGTGATATGATTTCAGCTCTAATCTGCGCCAAAGACACATGAATTCTTGCACTCATATTCCCCTAAACAGTACTTGTTGCTTGCTTTGATACGATATCATTCGAATGGCCTACGAAAGCCTTGCCCATCACTATGCGTTTTTTCCAATATCCTTATCCTCCAGAGATGAAAGCTTTGCTTATACCTGCTTGGTTAGCTATGACGTTATGTACATACCTATACCGCACCGCAATAGAGGCGAGTCTCATCCCACTGTCTTAAGGTATGCGAATTAGCCGTACTAGATAAGGACATCACCTGCATGAACTATGCGATCATCATTCATCCAATGCCCATCAATACAGTCAGTCCAGAACGCCTTAAGTCGTGGCATTCTTCTGCGTAGCTTCCATGGATATAACATCCTGACTAAGCCGAGTGGCAATAACCGGCCAATCAAGCAGACCCCTATGACGTTTGTTCATGATGAGATCACTCCCCTTCATGAGAGATTCTCGACTATAAATTGCCTAGAATCTATCATAGACAGAGATTGATTTATCACTGTTATCTCTATAACTCAGGCCAAACATCTAGGTAAGTTAATGGCGATTTGCTTATACGAAAATCAAAATATATCATCACCCCAACTATCTACCCGAACTATATATATATATACAACGTCACCAACATCGCCCCTAAAAACCAAGTTTAACCAAACTAACAAATCTGGCGCCTCTAGAGCAATACAACAACTCTATTTTTTTCCCCCAATAACACACATCACAATATACATACAAAATGTCCCAAAACCGTCTCCCAGGCTCCACCCGCGGCGGCGCCAGCGCTCAACCCACACCAGCCAACAACTCCGGCGGAGGCAGTGGCTGGGGCGACGAGGGCTATCCCAAGGGAGGAGGTCTAGGAACAGCGAACCAGACGTCGTCGGACGATGGGGTTCCTGTACGTACTACCCATCACTACCCTCTTCTTGGAAAGCAATGCTAATAAATCTATGTGATTAGTCCGACATCCTCACCACGCCCGCCCTGCAAGGCATCTCGCAGCAAAAGCAGGCCGCAGAGCAAAAGTTCATGAGTCGGTGGGATGAAGGACATGATCAGCGAGAGGGAACTTGTGCTACGGAGGATCATAGCTTCATGGGCACGAAGCCTGGTGGGTCGGATGCGTTGCCCGGTTGGAATGTGCTGAAGGATAAGTTGGGATTGTAAGCTTGCCTGCCTGCCGCTCCTTCCTTCCTTCCTGATGCTCTGGCTGTTCCGTTTTTGGGATGCGGGCTGATGGGGTGGGGTTGGGTTTTTAGTCTTTATCCGGAGTAATTGGGATTTTTCTTCTGGGGTTGGTAGGGTTAATGAATGATATGAATGGATGGTATCAAATGAAATATGGTTTTGGGAATTGAGAATATGTTATGTATTTATTGGGGAGGGATGTTAAGAGGGGTTGAACAGGCGTTGATAGTAAGGTTGATGTGATGTGGTTGGTTTATTGTATTAGTATAGCATGTATGTAACATTGAAGATGGATGCATGGTTTATGATAGCTTTTCCGTCTCGTCTATTCTTTCTTGGCTGTCTTGCCCTTGATTCGGTCCCGTAGGGCAACTATCTTGCCACCCAGGCGTCCCTTGAGAGTTTGCGCGGTCAACGCGGAGGCTTCTTCGGCCGTAACGAAGCGACGGACAAGAAGGTTAAAGATGCTGCCGAAGGCGAGCGCAACTACGGTGCTGGTCAGGATGATCACGTTGTATGGCATGCTGAAGTCGGGGGTGGGAAGCGGGAGGAGAAGGCTGGTGGTGCGGATATAGATCGGGTGGTTTTGGCCGTTCGCTGCGTCGAGCTTAATTACGGCGGGAGCGACGTTGAAGCCGCGGTTCGCGTCCGGGGGATATTCTGTGTACCGCAGGATCGCTTTCTCAAAGTCGTATGTGAGAGTCACAGTCGACGCAGGCGGTATCGTCATTGCCAGCTCCAGCTGTGTTCCTCGCTCTCGGTCGATGGCCGGTCGGTAGAAGGATTCACGGATAAATTGGGAGGCGGGTACTTGTTGGCGTAGTCCATCGCGGCCTGTGATAGAAGCCTGCAGTGTGTGGACATATGGTCGGAGAAACCATGGTAGTGTCTCAAAGTAAATGAAGTCGACAGAGTTGGAGTCAGACGGGTTGTCGAAGATGATCCGCATGCCACCGCGCTCTTGGCCGTGACCAACAATCGTTCTCTCCGCGCTCAAGACAGGCTCATCAAGTGGCACATGAGTGGTAACTTCTTGTTCAGGGATGGTGATGTCGAACGGAGTAGAAGGCTCCAAAGTGAAACAGCGAGTGAAGCCATCCGGCCTCTTGGTCTCCACTGCACCTGGAGTAACAATTACCTCGCGCTCAGGCGGCACCCGTAGGCAGACCGGCTCTTGAGAAGCATTATCCGTGAGAGGACAAGCGCCACTGAGGGTGCGTCCGAAGATTTCCGTCAAGCTCCAGCCCTTTTCCGATGTGCTTTCCAAAGGATAGCAGGTATCATCGGAATGGTAGGGCTTGAATGTATCGCATGCAAGCTGATCAGAAGGTACAGGTCGCGGAATGGGATTGCCTGCATAGTAATTAGTATATGAATCAGACTTCAAGTGCCAATAAACGAACCGCGGGGTCGCTTCGACCGGTCAATATCAAGGACAATGTCCACGGTCTGATCGACATGCACGTAACACTCTCCTGGCTGAGGACAGACAGGACTGACATCCACAGACATGCTCTGCCAAGACGCATCAAACAGCTTATGTCCATCTAGAAGGCTAGAAACGCCTGCCTTGCCCTTGCACGGAAGTAACTTCAGGAATGGCGTAAGATTTTCAGTGCAGACCACCTCGCCAGGAAGTGTCCCGTGCAGCAGATGCAGATTGCTGGAAGCTGGATGGTCTCCCATCAGTTCAAATGAAGCAACAGGGCGAGTGGTTCGGGTTGAGTCGATGAAATTCAGCGAGGCGCAAAACAATCCCGACAGAGACTGAGTCAGGGTAATCCATTTCGCAGAGGCCCTAATGCCCATCAGTATCGTTGCACATGCTACGTCGTCCTCTCCTTCCCGGTCACACATACGCTTCATCATCAGGTGCATCTATCCATGCCCATAGCTCAACACCAGTACCACCCTCTTTGCTCCCATTCCAAGGACGGGGACCCCAGCTCTCAGCATCCCATCGTCCAGTAGTGAACCGTAGATGAAGCTCCTTCGTGTTGGCGTGCTGTAGGATCTGACCTAGCGCTCTCGGAAGATAGCGGAAATGGCGCTCATCGAAGGACTCTTGGGACTCATTGCCACGAAAGTTGAAAGATGCTAACAGAGATGACTGCGGGAGTGGTTGGAGGTATAGGCTCTCGTGGTAGTCGGAAGTCGCTGATGTGAACGAAGAGAGCGCGACAACGAAAAGTAAAGTAAGGAGAGAGAGGACCGTCATCACGTCATGCTTGCCGATGCAGAAAGTTCTAGATACTGTGTAGTGATTCTATCGCGTACCTCACTACCACTAGCAAGCCATACACGGAGTGTAAGTTCAGTCCTCCGAGCGGCGGAGAAGAACGGTCGATTGCGCTTTTTCAAGCAAAGCTGAATAACAGGCTGACCGGGCCGCGCGACAGTATCAAGCCTGCATAAGATGTATCAAGCGTCAAAGTGTCCAGATCATGGCACCGATGTCGCCAACTAGTAAGGTGGAAAGGCCGAGCTGCACTCCGCAAATCAGCGGGAATCGACAGGGGGACTCCGGTTCAACTTATATAAGCGCCAACCGCGGTTAGCGCCACGCCCGCAGAATCTCGACTCTCCATCGCAATCTCCATTCAATCTCTCAGTTACGCTCTGACCATTCGTGCTCTCCCCACCCTTCATTCTCCCTCTGGCATCATCCCATCATGGCGGCGGAACAGAGAAAGCTGCTTGAGCAGCTTATGGGAGGTAAGTTGCTCATCTTCAGCTTCTACCAAGCTCTAAACAACAGCTAATCCAATTCTTTTTTTCCAGCGGACCAGCTCATAGGTACCGGCGCTCCCTCTCGCAATGCGCAGCTCCAAATCACCGATCCGAAAGTCTGTCGCTCATATCTTGTCGGCACTTGTCCACATGACCTCTTCACCAATACCAAGCAAGATCTGGGCCCATGCCAGAAAGTTCACAGCGAAGGATTGAAGACGGAGTATGAGACCGCCTCGGCGGCCGAGAAGGCCAAATGGGGATTCGATTACGACTATATGCGCGACATGCAGAAATACATCGATGATTGTGACCGACGTATTGATACCGCTCAGCGACGATTGGAAAAGACTCCGGATGAGATCAGACAGACCAACAACTTGGTAAGGCATACACTCACTCCCATCTACAGGATACTTCAAGCAGCCAAGAGAAGACATGGAGCTAACTACATCTCTAACGATATAGCTGAAACAAATCTCCGACCTAACGAAAACCATCAACACGGGCCTCCTCGAGATCTCGGTGTTGGGCGAAACCGGCTCCGTCGCACAGGCCCTGAACGAACTGCACAAGATCCGCACCGCGAAGCACCAAAAGGAAACATGTGAACGCGAATTGAAGAACCTCCAAGATACCTCCGGTCCGTCAGGTCATCAGAAGCTGCAAGTGTGCGATGTCTGCGGCGCGTACCTGAGTCGTCTCGATAACGACCGTCGGTTGGCGGACCATTTCTTCGGAAAGATGCACATGGGATACTCGGACATGCGCAAGGGGTTTAAGAAGCTCAGTGAGGAGCTTAAGGGACGGCCCCCGCCGGTTCGTCACCACGATGACGATGATGGTGGCTGGGGTGGACGCTCCGGTGGTGGACGTGGTCCTCGGTATGGCGGTGGTGGTTACAAGAAGCGCGGTCCTCGCTGGTAAAATATTGATGAAGCGTCTTGTTTTCTGTTCCTTTTCTTGGAGTTTATTCTGCAATGCTGTTGTAATTTGTCTGGATTTGCATAGCGCAGGCGTTTTTGTTACTACTACGTCTGGGATGTTACGGATTAAATAAAAATATAATAAACATGTACAGGCCGACTGCATTGCTTTCAACTTTCATCTCCGGATCCCCTGTGTGGACGTGTGGCAATGAGGACTGAGTAGTAGTAATAGTATTACGATAATATCATATTCGAGTTGTTTACTGAGTATATGAAGTCATCATAGAGAAAAATGGTATAAAATAGTAGAATAGTGTTCATTTTGACATACAAATTCAACGCATGTAAAACAGCATGCGGATAAGAACAAGATGAGATGAGGGGAAATTCCATAGTAAAGGAAGAAGGAAAAAAAAAGGAGAAGGGATAAAAATAACAAACCCAGTGTTGAAACAAACCTCGCTGGGGGTACATAAAGTCCATTGTTCATGGCAAGCACAAAAAAAAAAAAAGCAAAGAGAACAGATCAAATAGATAAGCAGCCCGTAAAGTCGCCCAAATACCCGTTTTGGAAAGAAAAACCCTACCCCAGCACATGGGAATAGCAGTGCGGAAAAAAAGAAATTACACCAAGCCCCCGGAGATAACCCTGCAAAGAAAATTTGGAAAGCGAAGATATGGGAGAAGAAAGACGTTACTGTACAATAGGCAGTGTTGAAACACCCTTTCCCCCCCTTTCTCTCTTTTTATTTTTTTTGTATTTGTCTCTCTACCGTGCATTCTGCTGTGGACCGTGTCCGTTGGTCCTGGTCGCCGTTGCTAACTCTTCTATCAACATCGTGTAGTTTGAGCTGACTTCTGGTCGACGTAGGAGGATATCCCGGACCACGCTTAGCTGGGAGGCATCTGCGTTCGGGGCATGAGATAGAAGTTGCTGGATAGCGGGTGTATTGGCTTGCGCACCGAGTACCTGTATTGCGGCGGCGAGCCCGGTGAGGGGTGGTTGGTTGGGCTGTGGAGGCTGGTAGGGGGTGAATTGTGGAGCTGCAGGTGGTGGCTGTTGTTGGTGTTGTGACTGAGCTTGATGCCCGTAGGGTATTTGCGTTTGAGGCGTTCCGTCGTAAGATGATACAGGAGTGGGTGTGAACTGGGACGCAAGCGGCGGTCCAGGAGTCAGGAAATGCGCTTGCTGAGGCGTCCCCGCTGCCACGGTCAATGGGCTGGCAGAAGCACCGGGCTCCTGGCTAGGGAAGTGCGAAGGAGGCTGCACAGATGGCGGATTGGAATCGCCAGTCTTGACGGCAAAGACCACGAGCATGACGCGCTCCGGTGTCGGATCTTCAAGAGCGTTGTTCTCCAGAAGCTCGATGAACTCCGGCTTCTTGGTGGAGCCTGCTTCAATAGGGATAAGGTAGGTATCCTTGACAGCTGGCAAGGGATGTTTGCCAACAACACCATATCTCGAACGATCTTGGAAGTAGCTGAATAGCTTGTCAAACCCTGCACGGTCCTTAGGGGAGTCGGGGCGGCTGATCGAGATAACAGTCACATCAGTCGAGGAGCTGAAACGTAGACCGCAGAGGTATTCGCTGGCGAGAGCAATCTCAATCCTTCCATCAATGGACAATGTCGGTGGAGCAAGCTGACTCCATGGTATGCGTCCGCTCAAGTCAGCTCCTCCGACATGCTTCGCGGAGGAAGTAAACTCGGTAATCGGATTCATGACGACCTTGCCATGCCAGATGGACCCTTCGTCATGAAAGTCCTTTGGTGAGTAGGGGGGTGAGTCGGGCTCATCGTCTCCCAATAGTTGATCGATCTCAGCATCAGCCTGAGCCTTGGCTGCTGGCAGCTGCTCACGAATATGAGCAGACACTTCGGGGAAGACCTGCTCATGGCTGGTGCCACCGGGAGAATGAGCCCGCGCGGGGAAGTGGTCCTGGTGAGTGGTGACACCATCAGTCATCTTGGTGTCAACATCCTGTGATTTCGATGCCTTCCGGGTGTCATCAGTTTGAGCCTGGGGGCCAGGGGTCGTTGGGCTCTGGCCAGCGGAGCTGCCATCAGGATCAGCCAAACTGCGTCGAGCGGCAGCAGTAGAGAACACAGGCTCGCTGGCGACATTGTGGTTATCATCTTCAATAAACTCTTCACCCTTATGGGTCCGTCTAATGCGAGGCCCTTGTTCTTGCACGATGATGTGCTGCCGTTCAGCTTCCCGCTTGATTTCGGCATCCTTCTGCTGCAGTTCCTCACTTGCCATGTCTTGGGTGCTCATCTTAGAGAGGGCATCGGGAGATAAACTACCTACGAGCAGACGGTCCCGTAGAGAAGGGTTCTTCTTTACGTTGAACATGATCGTCCGCAATTGTGACCTATACGGCTCTGTGGGCTCCCCAGTTCCTCCGCATATATTCTCATACATAGCGCTCTCGAGTGAGAGAGAAAGCTGCCGGGCAAATTCCTCCACCGATTTCACCCCGGACCCTTCGGGGATTTGGAACGATCCTCGTTCCTGGGCCTGAGTAATCTGCTCTACAAATAACTTGACCAGAGCTTTGGCAACACTCTTGCGAGATGGATGCGTCAGCTGGTCCGCGGATTTCGAGCTATCAGTCACTGCTGTCCCTGCAGCAGAGCTTTTCCGGGAAGAAGGCGCACTGGGCTCCTCCTTCACTTGAGCCGGTTTGGCAGCGGGAGCTGGCACAGGCGTGGCAGGTGCTGGCGGTGACATCTTCTGCTGCTTCGGTTTCGGTCCCTGGTGTGTCAGTGTTAGCAGAACCGTCCTCTCCCTATGATACTATATTAACGAGAACTTACCGGTTCAGGCACTTGCGCCTCTTGGTGTTCATCGAATTTGCGCTTCTGGGCGCTTGTCGACTGGGTTTCAGGAACATGTCCATTCTTCTCAGGAGCTGGCGTCTCGGCTTCAGGAACTGGTGCAGCCGGCGCAGGAGGCGCATCAGGCGCATCAGGGGCAGCAGTAGAGGCTGGAGCGGGAGTTGAAGAGGTTGCAGCGCGCGCAGGTGTGCTGGTCTCTGTCTTGGGCTCGCTAGCCTTGCGCTCGCTGGTCTGACGCTCACTGGCCTGAGACTCACTCGTTTTGCGCTCGGCCGTCGGAGGTTCGCTGGCCTTGGGCTCGACTGATTTAGATTCGCTTGTCTTAGGCTCAGACGCCTTGGGTTCACTTGGTCTGCCTCTTCGGCCGCCCTTCTTGCCCTTTCTGCGTCGAGATGCCTTCTTCTCCTCAGCTTCCTTGCGCCTCTTTTCGGCAGCTTCCTCCCAAGGCTTTTCACCACGCGCGATCTTTTCGAGAAGAACTTTGTGATTCTCTGGCTTGCATTGCTCACAGAAGTATTCGTCCGGCTCTTCCCCCTTCGCGTATGTCAAGCCCATACAGTCATTGTGTTGCCAGGCCGAGCATCGATCGCAGCAGATCATATCGCGTTCAACATCTTCCTCCTCTTCATATTCGCCACAAATGCATCGAATGATTTCTTCTTCTTCGCTGGGAGCAGGTGTCGGTTCGGCGGAGGGTTTGGGAGGTTTGTCTTTCGGCTGGGCTTTCGCCTTGGACTTCTTCGCGGGCGTTTCGGTGATCATGTCGAGGTTCTTGTGCTGGCCCTTGGTCGAGCGACCGGAGCGTCGTGGTTCATCTGGCTTAGTAGTTAGCTTTCTGTCCCGACGAGAAGTGGAGTGTGCTGCCAGTCGCCACCCATCGGGAAGGCCGACAATGGTCGCACGACTTTCGGTATACAATAGCTTACCGGCCATGATAGAAGTATATAAAGTATTCAAATTTCTACGGCGCGAAGCTTTGCGGGTTGTAAAAGGTCTGAGATAGAGTGAAGAAAAAAAGGATTGCGCACGCCACCCAAATCTCGTTCTACGGCATCAGAAGGGCTAAAGTAATACACAGAGGAAGGCTCTGGAAAGTGGCACTTTTTGTTTGTTTGCCCGGTCCACGCAGGTATTACTTTGTCCTTGCACTTCCAGCAGCGATTTTTAGTCTAGAGACAACGCGTGGGCGCCGGTGGGTGGTGTCACACCAAGCGGTTGGGTGGTGCTGAGTCTCGTTTGAATGCTGTCGCGCGCAGCGTGAATGCTTGGCGTGAGCGGGGTCGCGTGTAGACTGCGCAGCGCCTGAGGCGGCTTATCCCCGAGTGAATCGAGAGATGACGATGGAAGTTTCGCAGAATAGCCTCGCAGGAGTGTCTGGTGATGAAATGAACGTCCAGCGACGAGCAGCGGGGGATGCTGGGAGATGGAAGAAGACAGATGGTGGGAAGAGAGGAGATGCTGTCGCGGTTGGATCGGGATGCTGAGTCATGCACACGTGACTGAGGCTCCGCGGAGAATGGCTTGGCAGGCGCCAGTCCGGCTCCTTCTCGTCGCGTCTATTTTTCGGCGCCCTCGAAAGCTTCTCCAGATCCCCACATAGACTGTCTTTTACTTTTCACGATCTTCTTGCCCGTGCTACTTTCCCCCTCTCCGAAGTTGACGTGTTGTTTAGAGCTCATCTTAAATCAAATCAATACCTATAATCTTTTACTATCCCACCTTTACTCAGTACAGATCATGGCAGATGTTCGATCATTACTTCGGAATGAGCTCGCCGCCCGCAAGGGCTCATCCCAGGCAGGGAGCAGCGCAACGAACCGTGTGACCAAAAAGCGCAAGGTAGACCCAGCAGATGATTTGAGGCGCAAGAGGATGAGGGCAAGTGTGCCATCTGGTCCGTCGACCGCGCATACCGTACAACCGCCCAGTGCACGAGCTATCGAGGAGGAAGAGATGGAGGGATCAGAGCAAGACATCGCCGGACCGCAGCCGCCATCTGACATCGCACTTGAGCAGCCAACTGCTCAACCCGATGTACAGCCATCAGATACGTCTCTTGTAGCCGCCGAACCGCCTGCACCGACCACTCAAACCATCGATGAGGATGAATGGGCCGCTTTCGAGCGCGAAGTTGTCGCCCCCACCCGCATGCCGCAT